AGATGCGCTTCCCAACCCCCTGAGCCACGGTCGCCCCAAAGAATTGTGGAGCTCCATAAGTGTGGCTCAATTTTGAATACAATTTGGTGCCATTTGCAATTAAGAATTACAGATAGTTTCTCATATTTATCAATCTTAAAAAAAATAAACATTTAGTCTGATTTGATGTTACAATTAAAAAAGTGTTTGTGTTTTTATCTGAAGAGTATTTAAACATCTGGTTTCCACTGTATATTTGATGATGTTGGTGTTTGGCTTGATTGTCAGCACAAAGAGGGAGAGTGACGACAGAAGAGCAGGTGAGACACACATGTTAGTCAAATGGTTGTTTGTCAAAACTCATCAGAACATGTACCTAGTGTTTCTTTTTAGATACCATTTGTTATTTTTCAAATTCTATATTTATTAAGTTCTGCAGGCTTGTTTGCACAACAAGGCTAAATAATTATATAAACTTTTCTCAATCTAAATAGTGGACTTTGGTAGAATTAAAAAATAAGTGTAGTGCAGGTCTATGATGATTTTTAGTGCTACTATCATCTAGTTCTGATTCTGGTTCTGTCTTGGTTACTGTTGTAGTCCTGTTTTAATTCCGGATCAGTTCTGGGTCTGGTTGAATTGGGGTTTAGTCCCTGTGTCTTGATACAGGCCCGACTTTGTTCTGCCTTGCTGCTTAATTAAAAAACTAGTTTAAGGTGTCCTGCATATGTATATAGAATAGCATCTGGCTGCAGTTTAAAGACTTTTTTTTTGTCTCGGTCTTGGTCTCGATACACTCTGGTCTTGGTCTCGGATTAGGCGGTCTTGACTACAAGTCTACTTGGAGATACTTCCACATATTAAAATGATAAAAAAAAAAGACCAAAACTAAGCAAAAACTGAACAATTAAAAAAAAAAATCAAAGCAAAAAATGAAAAAAGCAAACTCACTCTGAACCCAAACTCAAACCAACAACTGAAAACTAATAAAAACCAGAGAACTCTTTGTCTTTGTCTTGCACAGCGTGTCCAGGCTGCACCGTCACAAAGAGCGAACTCTATGTTCTCGCTATGGAGAAGCATCCGGAGACATTTTCCAGGGTTCTTGTGTGAAAACAGCTTTAGTTAAATATCAGGTTATACACTTGGTTTGGAAGAATACATAGAAAACTGATACCAGTCCTCTCTCAGCTGTTTGAATACTAAAGCGAAAAATGTCAACATGAACTAAAAATAGTTTATTTTTCAGTGTCTTTTTGTCCCCTGCGTGCCCGCTCTCACGTGCCTTCGTCGCCTCCATTAAATGTCAGTTTCGTGTTATTATGTATTATTAATAAGCAGAAAACAGAAACTGGGGCATGTCTTAAACAGCTAATAAAAACGGCGACGTTAAAACAAAAGCACACGAACCGTATTCGCCTACTGAAGGGGAGCGTGTGCGCATCCTGATGTGGCACAGCAGTGACACAAATAACATTTTCTAGATTTTGTTGTGACAAAAAAAAGAAAAAATCCCATCTCCCATTGTTTGTAGAGGCTCAAAGGATTAAACAAAGTCAACAGTGATGGAGAGGCACTGATCTTCTGAAGTATTTACATTCGTGTTTTTTGTCTCTCCCGCTTCCCCCTGAAGGCGCTTCTATATTTCTCCACTCGCGGGCTTCGGTCTTTGAGTTTGTCTTTCTCTGGTTGGGTAAATGGCAGCCTCGGCGACAGACAGGTGCTCTCCATCATGTGGCCCCAGAGGGGCTCCGGCACAAGACAAATGGGTCTGGAAGCGTGGCCCCGCCCCCATTCCACCTGGCTCGTGTCACGCGGCGTCGTGGGACTTGTAGCGTTACCGCGAGCCCCGGCGCGTCCCGAGCATCCAGCAACTCATCACTCACCCACAAAACAGCGGAGACGCGGAGGCTGAAGTAGACAAGTTTATTAATGATAATAATGAGGATGATGAGGATGATGATAATATTAATAATTAGTCATAATTATAATAACGTTAATGTCATAATAAATAGAACTCTTCATCTGAAGCACGTAAAGAGAAGCATACAGAAAGAGAAAAAACAAAAACACAAAGTTCAGAGTACAGAGCCAGAGGAGGGGGCGGGGACTTCTAGAGACATTTTTTTTTTTTAACCTTTCAATATATCCATTTAATTTTTTAACATTTTTTTAAACTTTATTTAACTGGAACATTTACAAAAGGAGAAAGAGTTAGATTTTAAAAAATCCTTATAAATAAATTTCGTCATTATTAGAACAAAATACAAGATTTCAGGGGAGTCAGGATGTTTTTGTTTTTTTTTTCCCCCTGAAAGGACAGCCGGGGGCGGGTAGGACGGGAGAGGGAAGGGAAGGTCATTATGTACAGAACACCAGGAATACAAAAGGGGACCGGTCAACTCACATACTAGAAGGCTGGGGGCAGGGCAGGGGGGGATTGGGATGGTAGTACTGGGGCGGGTGTGCTGGAGGCGGGGACAGGGCAGACTCTCAGAGGGGACATCCTGCTAGTGTCACAGCTCAAGCAGTTGTGCTCAGGAAGATCAGGACCAGTTCGTTATACTAAAGGCATCTGAAGGAAGGAAGGAAGGAAGGAAAGAAGGGAAGAAGGGAGGGTCACTTCAACCCCACCCCCACACACACACCCACCCCCGCTCCATCCCACTGTTAAGGTGCAGGCTGGAGTTTTGGACACAACAAATGGATGCAGATGTAAACTTGGAAGTTCAGACTTTGCACCGGCGGACAGAGACAAACAGCCACAGTTAAAACGACCCCAAAAAAACAAAAACATGAAACAAAAAGTCCCTAAAAATTTTCATGTATCCTATAATCCAGACTTGACCACTGGAGAAAGAGACATTACAAACATCTAACTACTCAGATTACATCATTTAAAATGTAGTAGATACTTTTCATATTGACACGGATCAAAAGACTTTTTTTGTTGTTTTTTTAACTGTTCGAGCGCAGCTCCCGTGAGGCTTGGTGAGCACGTTTAAAGGAAGCTTTGTTCACAGGAGCTGTTCTCAGTCAGAAAATGTGACAAGATAACTTCATGCAATGAAAGCTACTAGGACAGAATTCTACCCGTAAGCAGGATGAGCTCTATTCTTTACACGTACCAGCAAAAAGTTATAAAGGACAACATTTTCTCTCTCACTCCGTCTGTTTTTTCTTTTCAAGATAATTCAAAAGTCATCTGTAAAGCTGTTTACACGCTCGAACACTAAAGAGGAAGCGATGTACCCACGTTGTGTGCACACGTGTAGTGTCGTTGTTTTAATGGGCAGGAATGCAGGTGAAAATCACCTTGAAGCTGCGGCTCTAACGTGGTGTTCAGACCAAACATGAAACAGAGTTTCACTTTGTGTGACTCTCATGAATGCGGTTGCTGGTTTTGGATCGTTTTGCAACCCCTAAATATTCACCCCAGCGACCGATGGGACGCCCGGTTCCAGATTTCCTCTGAAACTTTCTCCAAACTCTTCCTCCCCCCTCGTATCTCTCGGATGCTGAGTCAGGGGAAGCAGCTGATCGGCTTTAACAGCACAGCTTGAAGTGAATTTCTCGCTGAAACCCCGCGGCTGTTTATTTGCCTCTATTCTCGCCTCACCTGGTGCAAATCGGTTTGAATTTGCACCTTTTGCATAGACTGTGTGTATCAAAATTGGTCTGAACACGTCATTAGATTTAGCGATGGTTTAGTGATATTTGCTCATCATAGTCATGTAAGTTGTCCAGTGTGACGTAAAAACTCTGTTTTCATTCTTTGTAAAACTTTTTTTTTGGTTTTGTTTTGTTTTTTTTAGTACAAGGTAGAAAAAAAAGCGGGTCGGGTTAATTTCTAAATGGAGTCATCGCTCGGTTTTCCCAGCGGAGGGGCGCCGACGCCGTTTGCAGCACATGTAGCAGAGCAGCATCATGGAGTCGAGGCGTGTCTCTATTCTAAGTTGCTAAAGTGTTTCTGAAATACATTGCTGGAATACTGAACGGTGACCACATCGTTAGTTATTTGATATATCGCTCTAAAATACTGTGTACTTACATATCTATAAAAGAATACTGGCCCATATAAATCCTCATCAGAATGTCCTGCTGCCTAAACACTGGTGTGAGCGCCGGCCTCAAAAATCCAGCGGACTCTAAAGAGAATTGCACGAAATCCCGAACTACTCTTACTAAAACTACGACGACTACTGTGACTAATATTGTTCAGAGGAAAAACTAGAGAAACGGTTATACTGACTGTGAACCACTGTACTGTAAAAATTCAAGTTAGCAGTTAAGAACTAAAACCGTGGCAGCCTAATATATTACATGCGTCTGCATCGTCGCCCCGTAGAAATGCTTTATATTGACCTCTGACATCAAATGCAATAAAACGAGCAGAGGTGCAGTGTAGTATCGTGTGTGTGTGTGCCAGATGTATCTGCAGAGCTTCATTGTTGGCCAGAAACCGTTAAAATCCCAGCAGGGAGCCACACTGTTGTCCTTGATTACCACGGAAACACACACTATAGTTTACTCTGACCTGAACTCACACACACACCTCTGCTGCCACAAATACTCACCAGAGCACCAAATGTGGATTAATCAGCTGCTGGAAACAGTCCCTAAGTAATGCACTTCAGTTTGAGCAATGCTTACAAAAAGTATAGCGGCCAGCTGCTTCCTCGGTTTTAAAGGGGACTTATTTCAGGTTTATATCATATATGTGAGAGATTGCTGAAGCCTTCGTTTAATTAGGCGAACGTGTGTTATTGTAATCCCTGTGAGCTGAAAGCTTGAAGCGTTGGATCTCCTTACACGGTCGTCTCGAGAATCTCCTCGCCTGAAGCTCTGGGAGCCAATCAGAAGAAAAAGAAGGATTTTAAGACTAAAGGCGCCAAAACGGCTTTTCCAGGAGCGGCGTAACGAGCCAGGATACGATCGATACGAGTTTTTTAAATATGCGAATCACACATAATAGTCTTCACTATAAACCAAGAGACACGGTCAAAGTGGAAGTCAGAAAAATCAGAAACAAATTTTTTTTTTTTTGTCTTGTGTTGAGATTTGCTGACAAAATTAAAATGCATAATAATACCAGTGTTATCCGTTTAGGTTTTATCAGCTAGGAGTTGACTAGAAGAAGTAGAGAAAAGTGCTGTCTACCCAGAATGTGCCTATCACACATGACATCAAGTGTTCTTGTTGCAGAATGCATAGATATTTCAGTGGACAAAATCCGAACATCTGACCAAAACCTAAAGTTCGTTAAAAAACAAACGACAAACTGTGGCTCTTTATCGCTGCTGATCATGTAGTGACCATTTAGGTTTCCCCCCCGTTTTCCTTTCAGAGAAGCTCTGCTTTCCACAAAGTTGCCATCGAAGTAAAACTCCAGCCTGCTCCTGCGTTGCTTCTGCCCTACCGCGGGGCTGTAACCCGTAAGTAGGCCAGAGGAACCGCGTGACAAACCTACAGGTATGAAGACGCTAAGCCTGCGTGTGATCGCTGCATGGGAGAACGAATGACCGACTTTACCCCAATTAGACTTCACGACAGTTAGTTGGCATGATATAGATACTCTGTAATATATGAGAAGCTGTCTACGGATGAACAGAGGTCGCGTGGGTAGGAGCCCTGATTTAGAACAAGTACTTTTTTTAACCTGAAATAAGATGAAGTTAATCAAGAAGTGTGAGGTGAGATTTACTGTACAGGATAATAACAGTACACACTGTAGTTTTGTACAGGAAGTCAGGAGCTTAACCTAGTCTTACCCTCTTGTAACCACTCACACAAAACCACTACCAAGTAGTGTACCCTGAACTCTCAAACAAAGTTGTGCTTCACCCGAACCCGCTCGCCTCTGATAAAGTTTCTCCTCAGGGCCAGCAGGTTGTTTCCAATACGCAATAAAACCGCCCGCCCACCAGGGTCAGCGCCAGAACAGCGGCTCATAAACCGAGGCAGCTGCCGCAGGAAGCCGCGAGCCGAGCTTCGTCAGCGAGGCTCGTTACGTTAGCGGGAGAGCGAGCTCTACCTCGGCGGCGATGAGCGAATGAAATCTGGGTCACGTCAATACACATCCGGGCTCCGCCGTCATCACCGAGTCCCGCTGTCTCCTGATCAAAGAGCACTGAGACTGTGTGTTCAAATCATGCTTTGGTTCAAGTAAGAAAAGAAAAATCAATATTCATAAACTTTTTATCCCACTAAACTTTGCGCTAATTAGCAAGTGCTGGAGCTCCGGCGCGGGGCCGGAGTTAGCGCGCAGATGTGGTTCTTTTTGTGAAGTGTCTGAAAGTGGGATGTGGTGTTTTTGCTCAGAGTGGGGCACAAAAAAAGAGGGGAAAAAAGCAGTTTGGGGATTGTGTGTGTGATCCTGCCTGTGTTGTTAACCTGTGTGTGTTTGTGCACAGTATACATTTGCTTGTGTGGTAAACGTGGGATTCGGGGGGCGATGTCGGGGGAGATCAGTTCACACTATCACCGTCACACTTTCAATCATATAACACATGATCACATGTTACAGTAAATATCAGGGACATATTTAGTGGGAGGGGTCTGATATCTATGTTGGGGGCCAGAGGCTTTCCTGCCCACCCCCTCTATTCCCTGACATCACCACAGCCCATATAATAGATATGTATATATATTTATATACAGAAAAAGAATACATACTTATTGGACACCCTAGACATTAAAGTACATTCAAAAACTGAACCAACATTCTTGATTTAACACGTTTACAGTGATTTTTCCTGATATAAAGAATTAAGGTTTCGCTTCCACCAAATTAAAACTTTTTTTTTCCTGTTTAAAACTTTCAGTGCTGCAAAAAAATACAAAAAACACACAAATAAATATTCTCAGAATACACGGACAAAGAAAAGTTGACATATTTCAGCCCTAGTTCCTCGATTACCGTTGGATGGGCACTACTGTATTTCTATATGTTTTATCTAGCGACATAAGTCTATATGCCTCAGGCTTGTGTTTTGGTTATGCACCTGCTGATGTAGTACGATGGGATTATTCGATTATAATTCAATTTGTTACATGGACGTCGATGAGTTATTCTCGTCAGGTGGAAACGTGCATCCTTGGTAGTCGTACGCACCTTATCGTCGCGTTGGTCTGACAGTTTGTCCGTCGGTGCGGAGTGACGCAAAGGCTTGGGCTCGGAGTCTGGCAGGTGAGTAAAGTCGGCGACTTCTGCGCCGTGTTCTCTAACTAGTCCTCAGTCAGTGACCTCTGCTGGGGCGTGGAGAGGGGCAGACGGGGAGGCTCGGCTTTACACCGTCTCACCGTCCCGCCGTGGCTCACCCCCCCACTCCCCAACGCTGTAAACCAGTGATGCTGCCCATTGGGGAGGGCGGGGATGCCCAATGGTGCTGCCGGGAGGAAGTGACATCACAACAGTATCCACGGGGGACGCTGCTAACGCTAGGCGCTGCAGGCCAGTGACACCGCAACAAGGAGGAAAGAGCGTCATCACCGGCCCGAGAAGGAAGGAAGGAAGGAAGGAGTTTTGGGGAGGTTGGAAGGAAGAAGGCGGAGCAGTGAGACCAGGAGGTTGACCTTTGACTCCACCCACAGGAAGTACAGCATAGAAAGTGCTTCTGCCTGGATGCCGAGCTCTCCCTGCCACCTTTTCTGTTTTGTTTTGTAACTTTTTTTTTTTCAAACACGACCTCGGCGACAGAGCAGTGTGCCACAGAGAGAGGAGGGGGGGCGGGGCTCCTCCCTCCTCCTTCCTGCATACCACAGAATCAGCATCAAGGGCCAACTGTTCATCTCCCTTACCAAAAAACATAAAAACAGATTTGTACATATATACTGCTTTATACACACTTTTTTTTTTACCATTGTAAATCACAAAAGTATAGAAAAATAAAATGTTTTATAATAACGGGACACTTTTCATTCTCTCTCTGTCTTTTTCTACCCGGCAAAAAGGTGGTCCCTGGTGGAAACTGGCTCACTCCGTCTGTCAAGTTTGTGGCTGGTTTGACACCACTGCCGCGGCGCCACTTTGTACGCCTCCCGTCTTTCCTCGCCAGCCTCAGTAGAGGGACTCCTCCTTGTCTTCTTCTTCTTTTGTTATTTTCTTAAAGCTAGTTCTCCTCTCTTCGTTGTTTTCATCTGTGATGTCCATCAATACTGAGTACAGCTCTTCATTTTGTATTTACTAGAAACAGGGGAGAGAAGCGGGAAGACTGGTGAATATGCAGAAAGTTATGTTTCTGATAGACATGCATAATGAGAGGTGCTGTGAAGAGTCAGTGTGCAGCAGCTCGGTGCAACTTTGTGCCTCTCTGAGTAAGTTTTTTGGGGGCGAGGATCGTGTCGCCGACAGCATAGTTCTCTGAGAGAAACCAACACTGGTAAACATATGGAACAACGTATGGAGTAAACAACCCGCGCTCGCTTTAAAGCCCCCTCCGCCCCATCTGTGCAATGTACACTAAAAAAGTTCAGAAGTTGAGGTTAAGACACGGCGTGGAAACCGGCAACAGGAGCCACAGCGTCTACAACTCAACTGCGAAAAAGTTTGGGAGCTCGGCGTCATTCGCGTTTCATCGCGCTCTTGTAATGCGGCATAAAAGAAGCGGGAGTAGAGGTCTCACGCATGCCAAAACCAAAGCTACTGCTCTCCCCAGGATACAGATCAGAGCGAGCTGTAATCGTGCGAGTGGAGATCGGCAGTTTGGCAGCACAAAGTGAAAAGTCTCAGCGTATAATGGGGCCGGATGGCAGCTGGGGAGAGAGGGGTGGAGGGGTGTGGGCGAGGCGAGTGTCCCGGGACCCTCGTCGTGACAGACGCTTCCTAATTCACAGTGATCTTCGGCAGCTCTGTTGAGCTTCTGATGAAAAAATAAATAAATGAAAGAAGATGAGGCTTTAATTTCAGAATGGCTTTGTAGTGCATCACCCCGCCCAGTCCCCCCACCACCTCCTAACCAGCAGAGACAAACAGTCAAACAAGTGGCGTGCTCAATCAGCCTCCACCCTGCACCCCCGCCCCAATCTGGCTCTTCCCAGAGAGGAACTGGCCCAAGCTTTTCCTCTCCTCTATCTATTCTATACCTCGGATTTACTGAGCGCTCGCTGGGGACCCACCATACAAAAATATCCACATGCGGTCTTACGGCTCAGCAGGGAGGGAGCACAATAGCGCTGCAGCTACATATAGGCCTCGCTGTCAGGCAGCCTGGAACTGGAAGGACTGCAGACACAAATATATTAATCACCCACGGATGTGAAGGATTCAGGCGTGAGAGCCTGTGCTGCTCTCACTCATAGTTTGTGAAGTCTGCTTAACAGTGTGCATGTTAGCTTTGAGCCCTGCGGACAGTTTGGGGTTTATTTCCTCAAGTTTTAATCTGTTTGTGCTGCCACCGTGCAGTGAAGGAGAGCGGACGCTAGTTTGGATGTTGCTGGAACGTTACACGGGCTAAACAGTCGCTGGATCGTCATTAAGACAAAGGCAGAGTAGGTGAAGATCCTTAAACACTGTCACCACTACAGAAAATAATCTTTGAGCTCTGAAACCCGCCCTTCCAAATCCGAGGTGTGTAATCACAGCTCAGAGGGGTTTGAAGCTTATTTGTGCTGCTCATCTCTAACAGAAGTGAGGCTCTTATCCAAGTCCTCAACACCTTCAGCTGCACGCAACCGCCTCCACAGCGTCATCAGGTAGCTAACCGACAGCGTCCATCCGTCGCGTTTTCCCCTCACAGTTTCTCCCTAACAGCATTTATGGTAGTGAAGGTCCTCAAAAACACCAAAGACTCCTGAAAATAATCTTTCGTCTGAGGTTAGAGGAGACCTGCTGAAACCAGCTGTGTGGTGTAGCTTCTGAAGCTAATTTTGGCTGCCCGTCATAGGCAAACAAGTTGATGCAACAAGTCCGCAACCGACCTGATTGGCTCCCACGCAACCTTTTTCATCAGTTACCTCAGCGGTCCACAACAATATAATAATAAACGTGACTTCACTGTGTAATTATGTAACTTTATTAGCAGCGTCCTCCTAAAATGCACCAACAACATTGAGCGTAGCATCCTCCTGTCTGCCCCTTAATGATCTGATCGTTATGGTAACGCCTAAATATTCCTTTCAAAATAAGACACACAACTACAACACGGGAAACGACGAGTTGACACTAAAAACTCTAAAAACCATAAACTTCACACCCCGGTACCAAACGACTCACGGATCGTTACTGGTCCATGCCCCAGGGATTGGGGACCGCTGAGTCACCTGACCAAAACAACCAATCACAACAGCTGATTCAGTCTAGCGCCAACCTTTCAGTTTGTGGTGTTCATGGCCTTTAATTTTTGAGTTTATTAGTTATTATAGTTCCAGTGTGACACTACAGCTTCAATGTATTCATTTATTTTCCACAATTTATTATTAACCTTGTGCTCTAAGTTACCCATTTCCTGTTTGGATCATTTAAGCGTGATCAGATCAGTCTGTCAACCAACACAACTGTGGACGAGCAGTTACCTCAACTTAAATTATTAATAGTCTCCCCGCTGTTTGATTTTGTGCCACAAAGGAGCAACTTAAAAAAAAACTGAAAGAGCTACACGTAGCAATAAGTTGGGCTTATTCGACGCTTAAATCTCAATGAAGCGAAGAAGAAGAAAAGATCTGTACTGACTATTTTTGTTAACTGACTTTGGTTGGCAGGAAATTTAGACTGTGGTGAGAAAGTCTTAGATTGACAACAACAACATCCATGTGTGAAGGCAGACATGATGATCATATAACTGCTTTATTCTGACACTCAGAAAACAATCAGAGGTTACTTATATATATGTCACATATTGACAACAAAAGAATTCATGAATAAAGAAAAGGCTCATAATAGCATACTTTTAGCTATGAAATTAACCCAAAAGAATTACTTTACACCTTTCAGACAATATATTTTCATTATAAAGAGAACATAGAATTGAAAATACACAGATGACCCCACTTCATATAGGAATACATATAAAACAGTTACTCAGAGAATTGTGATATAGTGTATGGGTGTGTGTGTATGTATATACAAGTACAGTAACTTTTTTGCTTGGTTTTCTTTTGTACAAATATTTTAGGTGGATTAATAAATTCACCTGCCAGCTTATCAGGGCTTAGTGAATACCTATAAATATAAACGATGGATGAAGAGTATTTTCAGCTGATATGTAAACATATATACTACTATTAATAAGTACCAACACATATTTGGATCAATTAGAGGTCTAGTTGCATATTAAGCTGGTTGTGGAATACAACTAAAGCAAACAAACCCAAAAATATTAAAGTGTTTGTATAATAAATTCACATTTAAGTTACCTTTGACTTACATAAGCATAATAAAAACGGCTCAGACCTCTACAATACTGACTGCCAGTTATTAATGTTATATCTTAACATTTAAGCCTTGATAAGCTGACACTGAAACGGTTAAACAATGCTTATTTTAACTTTTTCTGTAAACTGTTGACAAACCCGTGCAGACTGATAGGAGCAATTCCAGATGACAGTACTCAAAGTTGTCCCCGGAATAACATGACGGAGGGGAAAAGTGGATGTGCATCCCCAAATAAATCTCCAAGTTCCCTTATTTGGACCGCACGTGCTCATGCTAATGCTTTGGCAAACCCTACATGTATTAAATTTTTACAAATCATCAAATGTGTACGTGACGAAAATCACTGAAACAAAGTTCAACTTAGAGCGTAAATCTTGATTTTAGATGAATCCGTATCCAGTTTTATATAGAATGTGATCATTAATTCGTTTTAATTTAAATCACGGGTCTCAAACTCGAGCCCACGATACTTATCAAGGCCGTATGTTAACATGAAGAAATATAATGTAATTTGATCCTTGAAGTTACTTTTTTGTTGGGAGGATTTGTTTGTTGTTGAGTGCAATGTTAAAAAAAGATTTAATATGAAGGCAACATTGGCATATCTGAATTTTTATTTTATTTTTAAAAATGAAGTGATAGCAGAAGTGCTGCCACGTGTGTGGCCAGAGAGGACCAAGGTGTTTATTTGGTAGTTCAACGAACGGCTTCAGTTATTTAGGAATGAGGGAAAACGGTGTTCATGTTTGCAGTTTTGTCTTGTTATAAAGTATCTGAAATTAAAAGCAAACAAACAAAACGCTGCATTATTGTAAATAGTTTTGGGTGTGTTCTTGTTTCTTTTTGTACTACTTGGTCCTCCAATGAGATCCAGTATCAGCAGTGGCCCACAGCTCATTCCAGGTTGAGACCCCTGCATTAAAACAACAGAATCTGTCGTTTGTTTGTAAACTCTGATCATTTATAGTAGTTTTGTAGCATAAAAGTAGTTCTTCCTCCCCACAGTTGATAAATTCTTCTGTTGTTTATGACAGCGTAGTTTGTGGTAGAGCTGTGATTGGCTAATAATCTATGGTTTGGACAAATTTGAGGTAATTTCTACCTTTTGACATTGATAACAGTGATCAAGCTTCACTTTCAACCAGTTTTCATGTACGAACACTGTCTGTCAAAGCATTAGCACGTGCACCCGCTCCGCTCAGGAAACTGGACGTCCAAACATCCTTCATGAGGTAAAATAAATGCTGGAGCGTGATCAGATCGTCATTTTTTCATTGCCACTGAATCTTTTATGAGGTCAGAGCATCTGTGTCGTCATGTTATTACAGGGACCGTAAGAGTGAAGTCATGCAAAGCTGTTAGCTTACTGCAAACTACAGTGTTTTAGCGAACTGCCTTCACTCCCCCATCTCTCTCCTCCCTCACACAATCTAATGCATATGTATATATATATATATATATATATATATATATCACATAGGCACACACATTCAGCTCTAAAAAAGAAACAAATCGATTTCATTCCAGTCTAATAGTGGTCACTAACTGAACGCCCACACGTGTACTCTGCTGCAGAGTTTATGTGAGAAACTCCTACAAATGTACAGTCAGTTCTCCCGTTTTTTAAAATGGTAAAAATAATATTCAAAGTTTGTTCTATAAAAAACCCCAAACGGTGCGGAGCGTACGTACTAGCATACAAAAGGAAGAATAATGTTTGTTTACCTACGTAAAGACTTTTCTTTTACTTATGAGATAATGGGTGTTTTTTTTCTTTTTTGATATACAACATTACTCTATATCATTTTAACATC